TGATGGTGATGATGATGATGATGATGATGATGATGATGATGATGATGATGATGATGATGATGATGATGATGATGATGATGATGATGATGATTACTCCAACCTAAACGTTTCAGTCAAACTGTACGACCGCATACTGCCAACCGGCAAAAACGGTTGTCATATTCAACCACATTCTATATATGAATGATGTTTGTGAAAGCATGCAAAGACAACGTTCGGGTACATTCACCGAAGGAATAAAAGCCAGGAACTTTCCTTTAGTTGCATGAAACAGGTTTGAAAATAGTTTCTCTCATAGACCGATTTTAGGTAAAAATCAGCTTTGTCAGCACAGCCCTAAATGGTAAATTTAGTTTCATGGTGAGAAAGTGCGCGGGTTTTAACGACACATAGAGCCGTACCTGGAGTGTATATTAGTGTGTTTAATGCTCTTGTCTGAAAGGTGCATTTTGTCTGACATGCTAAGGCCTCAGAGAGCATCCGGTGAAGTAGCCAGGTGAGGCACACGACCGGACAAATATCCAAACCCCCACGAAGATACGTGACTTAATCTCACATGCATCCCAATGTTGAAATACCTCTAATTCCGTCGAGTAATGCATGTATGCATGATGTAGGCGTGTCTATGTGCTGCTCATAACAGCCTTTAATAGAACTACCTATAGTGAAAATGAAAACTTCATAGCGAATCTCTTGACAGAAATTGGATTGAGTTGATCGGCTGCAACTTATTTAAGATGGTATTGTGCCATATCCGCAATAAAAGGCATACACCTTGATCAACGCGTATGTTGACTTGTCACCACAAAAACCAAACCAATTTCTTTCCACAAGATTCGTGGGTCCATTTTATCTGTTCATGCATCTTCCGGCACTGTTAAATATGTTGTGGGCTTCTGTCATACTTCTTCGCTGAGAGACAAGTCTGAAACTATCCTCGCTCATAACCCTGTAATTACTGGGCGGAATGCAGGACAAAATACAGAATGATCCTTGTATGTTGCAGGCCAGGGATGATCCAATTTGGTTGAGGAGCACAACGATATTTACAAGAAAAACCTCAAAATCCAGGAAGTCCGCACAACTGGATATTTAGGTCTTTTTTGCCCAACATATTGGGTTGGAGCATCCTAAGAGAAGGATGCATTTGAACCATGTCCGAGAGATTGGTTTAAATGGCAGATTTCAAGAAACCGTTCGCTTCACTCACATGTTTGTAGAGCGGCAGATTTTCTGTCTCTATAACTTTGTTCATTCGAGTTGCGGTAATCTTCAGTGACTTCGATTACTGTGGCATCGGTCACAAAATTTGCAAATGTCAGACAAGGTGGATAAGCCAAATGGTTTTTATAATATTATTGGTAATGGTATATTAATACTATGAATATCATTCATAATCGCATTTAGTAATGACGTTGAAAACAAAATTTCAGGAACAGATGAAGATTGGACGTTATGTAGCATGCGGTATGGTCGGAAACCATTCACCGTTCTCATTCCATTTTGTTGGTAAATTTAAACTTGTTTGGTTTTGAAAACAAACAGGATCGAAGATTGTTCTGGTGATCAGGAGACACAAGTATTTGTGAGGAAATATTCCTCTAGAAAGGAAGCTTTCCTGAACAAGTTCTTCAAAACACTAAAGTTCGCAAATAAACACAAATGAAAAAAATTTTCCTTGGATATGTGTTGGTTTGGTTGCTTCACCGAACATTTTAGTTGCTTCTGGTTAAATGAATTATTTTGCTGGAGTGGATGGAAGTTCGGAATGTTGTCTTGCATATAGTTTACTAGATGCATAGACATTTTTGTCACCAGATTATCACATTTGGCTCAGATAATTCCAGGCTAATTTTGCCAGTAGACTACGGTTTCGGCTTTACTAAGCGGTCGGCGGTTTAGACTGTCTTTCTTCCAGATCACTGGCTGATGACCACAGGGAAAACACTCCGGCAACTGGTACAAGTGAAGCGAAGTGTGAAATCTGTTACGCGCTTGAGTGCACTTCAGGACATAATGTTGTCACGTAATAACTTAGTTATGCGTAGTGAACTGGGAGGAGACAGGGCAAACGAACGGTAGGTTTTCAAGTCTTGTTGTCACCGAGTCTTGGTTTGGAGAATGTTTCTGGTATAGTGTGCGAACTGACGGTTGGCTGGTGTCCAATTCGTATGCCCGCGGTGGATGTGTTCCAGTACGCAAACGGAATCTGCTACTAAGTGTAGGTCAACTGGAGCCTATGTGAGCCTTGGGGGATGATTCGGCAGGATACGCATATGCCATAGGGTGACAGCAACTAGTTACCTGTGTGCAACTATTGTAGTACACCCTCCAGGCTAATATGATAATAGGTTTCGCTGATTTTGCCGACAGGCTTATCTGGTGAGTCCTGAAGAAGCGAACTATTGTATACACCCTCCAAGCCAAAAAGATAATAGGTTTCGCTGATTTTGCCGACAGGCTTATCTGGTGAGTCCTGAAGAAGCGAAACTGATGATAATATACTGATTATCATTAAAGCCCTGTAGAGTCAGGTTCTAGAAGCATGGGCCGTTCAGAGAATGCTATCGTACTACAGGTTTGCCGCCTGATAACCCACCCCCATCTAAATGATGTAGCAAAAGGTATTCTCAAGAGGCAATGTAACTCTAGGTTGTTTGAAATCAAGTGAGCCGTTCTTGAATGGATGTCGGGTGACGCTGCAGCCTTGAGACAAAGTGAACTCTGTGTTTCTCTGTCTGTTTTGCTGCTTCAGTCTTGTATCTTCCTGAGGGTCTTGTATGCAGTACACCATTCAACTTCTCGTAAAAAGCTTCAACATTACCTAATACCTACGGGCGTACTGCTGGTCACATTTATTTGCGACCAGAAGATAATGATAAGGAGGATCGGATTTCTACCAGACATTTGTAAGGAGTTTCCTCCTCATTCGGGATTTTCTCCTCGATGAGTAAGACCTTTATTGGAGATAAGCGCACACAAGATACTGAAATATACGGGGTTTGCGATACTTTGGCAAACTATACACCAAGTGATTCCTCCAGCCTGCTATAATACAGATGAGGGCAATAAAATTTCACAGATCAGCATGGCAAGCTGTTACAGCGAAGCCGTTACTCCTAAAGGCATGTACAAGTACGAAATGCTGGTAGGCTTGTTGCGCTGGTCATTATGATGGACTGGTGGATGGAGAGCACGAGAAAGCTAGTATAGTAGGAATTAGAATAAAGAGTTTATTTTTGCAAAGACAAACATTCGTCGGAAGACTATATTACCTGTCTACGATGAGAGCTGAAATTTTACAGCGTATGAAAACTTCGCTTTATTTGATACTGCTTTTGTTTCATCCTAGTGTTTGGATCCACCAAACGTATCCATCAAGTATCCAGTAACACGAATCAATACAGATGCTCACTGAACTCGAATGGCGGTTGTTGGCACGAAGTGTCACCTGTCACTTCTGACGCGCTAAAAGTTAAGTATCCTTTATTCGCGTTTGCCGACTCAAATAAATAAATCAAACAACAAATCATAAGAAACCCCCTAACCCTTAAACTTGATGGATTGTTATCGAGGCATTTGACTACTTCAGTCTGTTCTGTTGAGAAAATAAGTGAATTGAAGTCTTCTCATTATTTTTAGTCCAATGCTACCGCATAAGTGAAACAGTTGCAAACCCACAGAAAATGGAGAATCCAGCCTGCGTGGCAGACATACTGAAATCTCACAAGCTGATATACTTCAAAAAATTTCAAGCGAAATTCATTCAATCACATTCATTTGCGCTGAAAATTGCCCTTCAAAATTCGAAAAAATGTCCTTCGGAACGAGGCATTCGACAATGCATAACAAAAGGGGTTTATCGGTGAGTTCATGTAGCATAGCCAGTAGGTCAAATTGTACAAATGATGACTGACACAGCTCCCGTGCGTCTCAAAGTCATCGCAAAATCCCTTAATCATCATAATTATGTGGTAAGGTGTCCAACACATCATGAAAGCGCCGAGAATAAAACTGATGGTCCTCAGTGCTTTCCGTGCGTGCCTTCGATTTCGGGAATCAATACTGTTCATAGACCTTATTTGTGCCCAGCTTGGTCTCAAACTTCTCTTACGATATAAGCTGACGCGACGTTTCTGGTCTAGCTGCCTGTCCACCGACTTTTTCGAATCAGATGATTCTTGAGATTCTTGAGATTTGTCCACTTTTTTGTGTACTCCCAGTCGAAACACCTCGGCCGCCGATTTGAGACCACTGCTCATTTTTCTAGAAAGATTTTGCCACCGGATCTTCACCGAACTATCGGAATGTCGTTTCAGCCATTGACCACGTCCGCTGGGGTTTTCCAAGCGCAGGGCAGGTCTCCTATAAGGACATGGCGCTTCTCGATGTTCTTTTTGATAACACATTCTTATGAGATCCCAAAGTCGTCGGTACCATGGGACGTGTTCACAGTAGGTCGAGGAACTATCAGCCGATGTTGACATGGCAGTTATTAGATCGGCAGTTAGAATCCCCGTCGGATACTGACAATAACATTGGTGGTATGGGCTGTGAAACTGATCAGAACTCTCATTCTGTCCAGAACTGCTAAAATCCGAAAAGTTGATGAACTAAAAAAACAGAAAAGGGAAAGTCGGCAGTCTGGTATACTATAAACACCACTTCCAGAGGGACGCAAAAGACTTCTTCAGAGTATACACGGGTTAAATGGAGAGGTTTAGTAAATGTTTTCAAATAAGCTTGCAGTACAAGTGAGACAGCTCGTAGATCTGTCGATCGTCATCATCTTATGAATAGACAAGATGTTGATTTTCTGGGACCTCAGGTTTTCTGATAGCAGCTTGTAGTCACAGAAGAAGGCACTCACTAACTATATAGAAAGTAAATAAAAACGTGGGTTCTCTGGTGAATATGCGATTAAGTTATGATAATCTCATCCACACAACGAATTTCGGTCCCTACGGAATCAGTTCAGGTGGGTTTGGAGTCGCCAAAATTCGGCTTGCTGTGCATCGCCCGCAATGATCCAACCGGGGAGTAGGGCAAATGCGATGCACTGCGGTCAGATAGGATACTGGAAGGCGAGATTTTTCTTGAGGTCAGCAGTTTGCAAATGGTCATTGGGTAGTTATGTAGACAGTCTGGCCATTTGTGGTTAGCGTTAGTGTGAGGCGACTGAATAGATTTCAATAGAGATTTCCTTCCCTCAGTAAAGTCAGTTTACGCTGAGAAGCACTCTACAACTGTTTCGTCCCAGCCGGGAGCTATCAAAAGTGTACATCTCACGGAACTCGGGACCTTCCAGCCATAGGTTGAACATTTAACCGTTTAGTCATGAGCTGCTGCTGTTTGGTGAAACCTCAGTTCGACAGGACGTAGCGCTACTCTTCTTTCATTCACAGCAAATACATCATTACGGCACGAATTGACAGGCCTCGTGTGTAACGGCTCCCAGAAGAAGGAAACTACTCACAAGGTTGCTGAAAACTCTTCAACAGCAACCTTGTGAGTGATCTTCTTTATAAAACATGAGGCGGCCTGTTTGCAGTACATTCAGTTGCAGAATATCATAGACGAGAGATTCAGTTGAGTCACGTGAAAACCAAATTGATTGGCAAATGAGTGCATTTCTCGAAGTTTCACCCTTCTTGTGAAATTATCCTTCCTCGGAGCTAATTATAGATAAATGACGATATGCAAAGATTTCGCACTCTTTAGTAGAAGTTTCTTCCTTTTTACTGAGACCTAATCTCACCGCCCATTAGCCGCTGTGGGCCAAACGGCTAAGTGTTAAAACATTGACCAGAAGGTAGTGAGTTCAAATCTGTATGGGTTTCGCGAGATGCACACTGTTGATGCTTCACACAAAGAAGGAGACAGCTCTACAGTGTTCTTTATCAGCATAAACGGTCTTCACTGCGAGGAATAAATACCTGTTTGTGATTAGCCGAATGACCTACAACAAGAATACACCATGAAAGCGCCCTACATAGGATGCATAGTTGCAGTTCCATTAATTGCACACATTTTAGGGCAAATGTTGTCCAAGCCTCGGACGACATGTCTGCGCTTTGACGTACGTCAAACGGAGTGTTAGCAAATCTTTCTCAGCGACAGTGCCAAGGAAAATCATCAGGGTCTTGGATACTTAAAAAGTTGTTCAAAACGCGCGGTACATTAGAGCCGAACAGTCTTCCTTGTCTCCAGGACTGGGAATAAGATACTGGATTTTACTTTGGCGCACGGATTGTGCTTCATATTGCAATAATATATAGGAATGACACAAAAGAGTTTACTCATCGATGCTTTCAGATTACTGATTGCTTACTTGGTAAGGCGAAGTACACTGAACAGAATAGTGCTCTGGGATATTGCATGAACGGCTCAGTGGATCACAACACTGATATCCACTCGAGCTGGACTCTGCAATCTGGTAACATTCATAACAAAAGTACGGATCTTTGTCTGCCTTCTTCATTGTGGGATTCTCAACCCAGATTGGTGAATCAGGTTCTTTTTTGGGGATGGAACGGTGTTTTGTCATCTGACTGCATTCACTGTCAGAAGCACTGAATGCGGGAACGGTTGGCGAGGGGACATAGACATCGATAGGTTCCTTGGACGAGGATAAATCAGACAAGTCTGAGTCAATATATTCTTCCTCTTTTCTTTTGTGTGGTGCAAAATCTCGTGGATCATTCTTGTCTTCACATAAGTAATCGCATCTGTAAAGAAATGGTTCGTCTTCGAAATTGATGCGTTTCTCTAATACCGTGGCAGGATTGTTGTTAGTTCTGAGTTTGTCCACGGCCTGAGCAGTGCTGAAAGAAAGGTTGATCGGTTCTCCTGGATGATCTGACTTATGGCTACCAGGTCTTGCGAAGGGTCGCACATGATTGCTTTGAGTCGCATCTTCGATAGATACCATGATCTCACACAGGTTAGTTTTACAGGCTGAATTGTTATTCTCAACCCATAAGTCTTGCGTATTTTCTATAGGAGATTTCACCTTGGTCAAATCAAATGGCTCTTCCGTCGTTTTCAGAGGAGAATAGCTGAAAGTGAAAAACAGCGACACCAACTGGTTACAAGAAATAATAGGAAAATAGATAGTTTGGTGTAAAAACGAAAGTACACTTCCATCATAATTGATCAGCTAGTCAGCTCGAAATATGGGACATGAACAGCGAAGTTCTAATGTATGCTTGTATGCGTAGGCAAAGTTTTTTGAGGGCCTGACGGTTTACACCTAGTAAACAGGCATAAAATACCTTTACATTTGATGAAGACTTAAGATAACTAATCTTGTCTGAACACGAGGTAGACGGGGATCCTTACAGACGCTTACACTACCATGAAGATTAGTATTCTGAGGGAAAAGTCTGCGTATTACAGGATGGGAGCAGACTTGGTTGATGAATTAGAGGGTGCATAAATTTGAATGAATAGACGAGAGTAACGCGTATTGAACCTAGATTTCGTAAAGCGGAGCTGACATTCATTGCCTTGGAAGTAAGCGTTTGCGCCGAAATTGAAAAAAAAAGAGTTTAGAGTACAGCAGCCACCAATGTTTGAGCACAAGAATAAATTAAGTAACATCGACTTTGTCTTAAAGCTAGAACGAAGGCTTGCTAAGAACAAGGTGATCATTATTTTGACAAAAACATGTTAAGGCACGTTTTACGTATCCAGCATTCTAACAAGTTTTGTGCTCTGTTTACCCTGACTTAGCTCGCAACCACTGTCTAGATGGATCATGGATATTAGCGCATGCAACAGATATGTGACTCGAATGATCCATCTATGCCCACGCTGTTCACCTCACAAATTATCTGCATAAATACCTTACTTGTACGGTTCTTAAGAAACTGACAGCTGGCGGACACGCAGGAGTGAGTGCTAAAAACTGAGGCCAGTATACAAAAGCAATCTTATTTCCACAAGACTTCGGTTTAGTTGACCCGTTTATTTAGACAGTTTCATCTGAGTTTCTCCTTAACACCCAAGGGATTGCAAATAAGTGTGTTTCGCCAACCACATTGCTGATATGCACGTAGAATATCAGTCTGATGGCACTTTGAAGACTATACCTGTTTGAAGTGTCCCAAGAAGGATAGAACGAGTTGCGGGTCGCCGAATAGTTTTCAGTAACAATTGTGAGTGTGGCACGTCAGGATACTGTCGTGCAAAATGTCGAATATAGTGATGCTGAAACGTGTGAAGAGTACCAAGAATACCGTAAACAGAGATTCAACCATCCCCCGGGTACAAACGTACACACACTCAGTACCCGTTGCGTTTGTCCGACTAGGTTCATCCACCAACCCAGAACAGATCCATCGTTCATGATCGGAGCCACACCGCGGGTTATCAAATAGATGTTACACTCTGGTCCGCACGGCTTCCCCTAAAATTAGCGGAAGAACAGTGGCCCAGGTTCAGCTATCCACAAGCAACAGCTGTAATCCTTTTCTGGCTAAACCCACGAGAGTTTGTTTCACCGGAATTATTTTGTTAAAATTGGAATGCTTGTAATCTACCACCAACAACTCACACAGGTCCCTGTATGAAGGAATTCATAGAAGTGACAAAAGCGAGCGATTCTCCCTTAGGTGACAACTATAATTCCCCTACAGCAAATTAACTATCCCAGAACTTCCATTGTCTGCAAGCCTAGAGGACCCATTTTAAAATACCAAATAGTGAATAAATCGGCAGACGTGAATCAGGACAGCAATAATCAGGGAAACTCAGATAATTTAGATATCTGTACAAGTGTAGAAAAATCCTATGAAACTTGATTGACAAACGGTCGAGACTCAATCTGCGTGGGGTAATTATGGAAAAAGTGAGTTATTGAGGTAAACCAGCAACCTGATCTTCCTGATTTTTTTCATAACCTTCTTTTTGGTTGCAAATGAAGTGGTGAGCGAGGTTTCCTTTCTTCAGTAAACGTCTGCTTAACTGGCGAGGCATGCCCTAAGAAAATAGAATCAGTTATTCAAAACGAAATTCATTTACAGCCCTATTGATATACCTCCTAGGTAACAAGTCGTGTAAGATATTCTTTACAATTTGGTCTCCATTTGGTTAATCGGCGTCTAGCAGAGGAAGAGAAGATTGATTCAAATCTGCACCGTCTAGAGTGGATGATATGTAGGCACACCAGAATCCTTATCTGTCTTCTGTGACACCGCTGACTATATTGCTTTTTCACCTAACTGTCGGAAGTTAATCACTGTTATCTCCCACGAGGCATCGGAATTCCTGTGAACGGCGTCGGTCGCACAGTTTATCTAATAGATTTTATGAACCTCTCTCTAAATGGGCATAACTCCAATGGGTCTCTGAACAGTACAGTTGCTGGCACAACTGCTATACAACATCAGATTGATTCCTGTCTGTCTGTCTGTATCTACATATCATATATTATCTTTTGAGAATAAGGATAGGTGGAAAAGCTAACATAATTCATAACCCTTATTTATCGATACTCAGTGAATATGGCTGTATATTGTCTATATTTTGTTCTGCGATGAGAGTCCGCTACACCATTTCGGTGTTGAACGTGCTTGGACTTTGGTCCATTTTCATTTGGAACCTGCTCACTTTCCTTCAGACAGCCCGAATAGATTTTTTACGCTGGGACAAGGCATTTTATTGGCGAAAATATGGTTATTTAATTATAGATTATGAATAGTAGTTGAAGTTGAGTAAACTACCAACAGTAATTGAATTACCTTAGGTCACATACATATTTTTCACAGGACATCGAACGTTGCTTGACACGGCACTCAGAACGTTTAAATGAGGGTGAAAACAAATGAATCGACCTACATCATCACCAAAGAACGAAAACGAAATCATCACAATGCTTGAAGAATTGCACAGCTGGACCCAAAAGCAACTCCCTAGATTGTCCCTTTAAGCACCCAACACCAACCCTATCACAGCAGTACAAGTCATCGTAATGAAAGATTCATTTATGCCCCATCATCATCGTTACTGACTTTACCATTTATAAAGTTGTGTATACTTTTATATCTGTTTAAAATTATTTTTAGGTATTTTCTACATAGTGTTTCTTTTGCAAAAGTACATTGCATCGTAAGCGGAATCTCCGCATCGAGCTCCAAGCGTCCGTGTATTACGAAGGAGTTGTTTCTGCACTCTGCATCATCATCAATGGCGGCAACGCAAGATCAGAACACTGGTACTTCGCTACAGTACAACCATATAAATTAATTTGAATGGAGCTTCGCAATTAAAAGAAGAAGAAACGTTAGAGGGCGAGGGACTTTGGGTTAGCCGCTAACCAAATTCTTCAGCACCTAATAAGAAGACGGATGAAAACTGACAGGACGGATGCCACAAACATCTTTTAGCTACCTTATCGCCTGGTATCTCCAAGTAAGAACAGGAAGCTCACATAGACCACATCCTAGAAGGTAAACAGCACCTAGACTTTCCCTAACAACTTTTAAATTCTTTTCACTTTCAGCTTTCCGCCATTTTGAATAAAGCTGCTCTCGGCATGCGAAAAACATTGCTTGGTCATCTTAGCTTCCAGTGGATGCATTCTCTGAGATAAGTGCCGTCTAGTGTTCAGCTCACTGCAAATTCACTGCTTCCAGCCAAATAAATCACAGCTCTGAGGCGTAGATGGTTGTCTCATACCCAGCAGCCTAGAAGTCGTACTAAGTTACAGCCCACTCTGTAGTTGGATAGTACTTCCTTTGTCTCATTTGGATATCACTAGTGACACAAGTTGTCAACCGCAATTCAGGCCATTGAGATTCGTGAGTTGACTTTGTTTGTCACACTACTGGCAACTTCCGATATGTTGCACAACTTCCAGTGTCACTCCTAGAATTCTTAAAGAAATGTCAGCAGACTGTATATTCCGCAGTCTGTCACTGCTAATTAAGAACGCGTAGCACATGCCGAACGGCTGAATTTCTTCGGTCAGCTTTTCAGCACTTCTTCCTCGTTTGCAGATGTGAAAATGATGTCGTCTGTATACTCAGGGTTGATAAGATGTTTACTCGTAGAGATCCAAACATCAAGTTTTAAAAACCTTACGGTTTTTGGATCACTGCTTTATTAAGGACCAATTTGAACAAAATTGGAGACAGCGAACAGTACTATTGGACACTATATTTTTAGAAAAGCCTTTACCGAGCTCCCAATACACAAACGAGCGGTCAAGAGAATGAAACGCATTCCTGAAGTCGAGAGAAACATGATTTTAGGGCTCTTATACACGAATTCCAGAAATAGGAATGCTTGTAGTTTTATAATAAAGAGTCATCTTTTGGGAGGCTGTTCTATAGTGTAGTGACAACTAAAGAAACCAAATCGAGAAAATGCTCTCTTCGGCGTCAGAATCAATGTATCAACGCTATTTGCGTTGGTGGCTGATGGAAAAAATAATTGACAAAAATGTACAAATATTACGCTAAAGCTTATTTTAGTACGAGTCGTCGGAACTTTTAATCACTACATATAAAAGTGAAGAATTGTAGAACTATGCAAAAAGTAAAACATGATGGTCAAATCGTTTGCGCGGCTTTCTTAATAAGTTGCATTTAATTGCACACCATTTAAGTGAAGATGTGCTTTTGTGAACCGCAGGCATTTGAAAGCATCCTGCATCAAAATTGATGTTCATGAAATTTAGCCCGCCAAGTTCTTTTGAGGTGCGGGGATTTGTGTGAGGATCTCTGAGTAACAGGCACGTTCGTGTTTTTAGGGGATCGCCGGAGTCAAGTGCGAACTTCGGGCGAAAGAAAACCACCAACGTGATTCATGACAGCGTAACTCTCTCTCGGGTAACTGGTTCAAGCCATAGAAGTGATCAAAGCTGCTTTAATGAGTGTCAAACCCAGTCCCATTCTTGCAAAGCCCGTTCATCCTGTGGTCCCTCTGTGTGTGTGAAATACACACACATAGACTGAATGTTGATGCTCCAATAGTGCACATTTAATTATTTGCAAGTTCTTTGTAAATTTTAGAGTGTCTCTCCCAACATCCATTTTAGCTCCTATCACTGCCAGTCATTTACGTGAATAGACCCGTGAA